TAATTCATTCATTGTGGATATTTAGTTCATTCATTGTAGATATTTACTTCATTCATTCACTGTGGATATATAGTTATGAATTTATGGATATTTAGTTCATTCATTGTGGATATTTAGTTCATTCATTGTAGATATTTACTTCATTCATTCACTGTGGATATTTAGTTCATTCATTGTGGATTTTTACTTCATTCGTTCACTGTGGATATATAGTTATGAATTTGTGGATATATAGTTATGAATTTATGGATATATAGTTATGAATTTATGGATATATAAAAATGCTATTGCCGGGAATTGAACCTGATTTCTTCTTTAAGTGGGACGCGCGTTTTTTAACCAAAACGACGTCGTTTTACAACATAATTTGCGCATAAATGAATACTAAATAATTATATGACATTTCTATAGTATATATAAGAGGTAATGGTGTATGGTATTGGACCCCTTCTAAGCATGGGGCCCTGGGCAAGGGCTCTGCCTGCCCTTACCTAGGGCCGAGCCTGTTCATACATAGGTAATTGAATGTCGAATTTGTTTATTTAGATATGTAACTCACAGTATATGAATGAAAAAAATATAGGAAATTCATTATAATTGTTACTAAAATAAATGTTTGCAACTTTATAAAATCGATAGTCTAAATACTTGATTTAAAAACGATAGTCTAAATAAATACTAATTTTGGTTTGAATTTTTCTAAGTATTCTTTAATTCTCTTTTGAGTAACATTGTCATTGTATTCATTTTCACTATTTGTCCTCTTCCTTTTTGTTGGTAATGTGTTATTTGCAATTGGGTTACCGTTGGTAGCATAGATGACAACGTCATGCAATGAGATTATAGTGTAGGAAGTTGTGGATTTTTCATTTTGCAATAGGCAGTGGTAGTTTGTTTCCCTACATGTTTCATGTGGAAGTATTGAATAAAATATTAATATTTATTATATTTATATAAGGCTCATGATTAGTAACTCTTGTTCTATTTTCATAATTTATTTAATTGATAGTAACAACAATAACTCTACAGGTAGCTTAGTTTGAATATTGATGCTGCAACGTGTCCAGTTTCATCAATAATTTCTACATTCATTTTACACATGTTAATTTTCACATTCATTTTACACATGTTAATTTTCAAGTTTATATTTTTAGAATTAGTAGAAATGAGTGTAGTGTGTGTGTGTTTTTTAATTTTTTTTATTAAATTTATATTAACCTTCAAGTTAAATTGTTTTTCACTTTATGCATAAATTTGTTTTAAATAGTGATTGCATCATATACACTAAGTATTTTTGTATATAAGTATTTTATATACATGATATAGTAATGAATCAGTGACTTTTTAAAAATTTCTTCATATTTAATACGAAATAAAAAAATTATTAAATGATAATGCACAGATCATCATTACACAAAAGCAAGTAATGAAGCGCTAATGCAAAAAGAACTTCTTGTAGAAAACCAATTGGAATTTCCCCTGACCAAACAAGATGGGCTTAGAAATCTTAAACTTAGTTTGGTGGGATGCGTCAAACCGAGGCAATAGTGCAACGCCAAGGCAACACTCAAAAACCCAAACAGCAAGCTGCCTTAATGGGATTTTTCCCTAAAAAAATTGAGTTAATATCATGTGAGCTAATAGCCCACGTATCAGATATTAAACTGATAAGAACAGATACTACACTTGATCTTAGCCAAAAGGCCGAGAAAGGTATGCCTTTCAAGCAAGATAGCCTGCTTCTTTTATAACCTCCCATATCCATTCAATCCCTCTATTAAAACGATGTGGGACAAGAAATAGCTACCAATTAGCTTCACCTCTTTACTTCACAGCTTCTTCAATGCCAACAGTTTCTCGAATTTCCTAAACTGATCTTAGTCCATGTTGAGACGAAAAATGAGTAAAATTGTCATTTCTATTCTTCGTCTTCTACTGCTCTCTATTATTTAAGTATACACCATTTTTATCTTGAAATTTAGATTAATAAAGTGAAGAAGAAGAAGAGGATAATAGTAACCACATTATTCTAGACTGTCTAAACTCAGTCAAGAAACTGAGAATCAGAAAGGATGCGCAGAAACAAAGTGGAGTTCATAAGTGAAGAATGAGCTTTGGAATACAATTAGGTACATCACCATTGAATCCATTGATCCAAATTCCTACCCAGCCAGCATGAAATAGTATAATAACATGATAAATACAAATGATGAAGAATCGGGCTTTCAGTCAAAATCGGGTGAAATTGTTATCCCTATACTAGTGGCTCCGGCTCTCATCTTTTTGTGGTCTGATGAAATCTGCAATACTATATGCAACTTACAGAGCCTTGTAAACACAAACAATGCAGTCCGTATGTCATTTTGGGAGTTATGTTTAAAGTGATGATGGCGACACTTTTCATATTATATATTAGGGCAGAATATAATTCATATATGTTTAAGACCACTACTACAAAATTGAAAATATAAATAGTATTTTCCACTACATGTTCACCTTGAAGGTGTCTTGAAAAGAGAAAGGGAGAACTTTCCGAGGCAAGGAGGCACCAATTACAAAGAGGTGCCTCCGGTAATAATATTATTATAATAATATTGAAATCCGCGGCACCCACCTAGGCCGGCGCCGCGGATATAATAATAATAATAATAATAATAATAATAACAATAATAATAATAATAATAATAATAATAATAATAATATTATTATTATTATTATTATTATTATTATTATTATAATATTGAAATCCGAGGCACCCGCTTAGACCGGTGCCGGGATATAATATTATTATTATAATAAAATTAGAATCCGAGGCACCCGCTTAGACCGGCGCCTCGGATATAATATTATTATTATAATAAAATTGCTTTTGTCATTTGCAGAAGTGGCGGGATGCCCCCGTGTCTACCACCCACTCATCTGGGTTTTCCACCGTTTTGGCTTTAGCTAGTTATCACGGCTGCAATCACTTCATTGTCTGTGTTCTCCAGCAGGTTGGCTTGATTCTTGGGCCCTTCATTACCTGTGTTTTGACTTGCACCAATTTTCCGATGATAGCATTGAGCTGCCCGGTGACCATTTTTCCCACAAACAAAACACGCGTTGTTTTTCCATTTCTTTTGAATCTTCCCACTATTAACGTGATTACTGTTGTTGTTGCACTTGGGATTTCTTTTGTTGTTCCTATTTTGGCCACCAATCTTTGCCCTGTCAAAATTAGCACTTGTTTCTACCACATTAGCTTTTGCATTACTAGTAATGACAGGCTCGTTCATCACTCGATTTTCTTCTTCAATGTTCAGACTGTTCACCAGCTCCTGCAGTGTGTGATGCCTCCTCTCGTGCTTCATCTTTTTCATGAAGTCAGACCAAGACTTGGGCAATTTCTCAATTTGCGCATCAGACAATAAAGTGTCATTTACCTCGGTGCTTTCCGCCAGCATGTCAGCCACCAGGTTCTCGTATTCATGTACATGTTCAACTATGGATGACCCGTTAGTCATCTTTAAGTTTAGAAAGCGTCCAACGACATATTTCCTCCTTCGAGCGTCGTTAGTCCCATACTTATGTTGCAGCATGTCCCAAATAGTCTTAGCAGACTTCTACATGGAAAAGATGTTGAAGAGAGCGTTAGTCGTGTGTTGCAGTATTGTTGCTCTTGCATTCTTGTTGTCACGATCATATTTCGCGCGAGTTTCTTAGGACGGGTTGCTGGCTGACGCTGCAGATGCCTTCGGATCAGTTGTAGCATCCACAACAATAACTTACGGACCAGGCTGGGTTGATTTCTCTGGTATTGGCTCAAGTGTTACCTGGAACTTAGCAAGATCTTCGTGAATGACGTAGTCGAGACCCTGAGCTTTAAGAAACATCATGATTTTCGCAGACCAGTGGTGGTAAGTCAGACCACCGGTGAGAGGCTCGATCGTGTTAACGTCAGCGACAGATTTCGACGAGGCCGACATTGTTATCGCACTAAAATGCTTTTAACTGTTGGTTTTTCTAGGTTGAAACTGGTATGACAACAATGTCGTATACGTATCGATAATATACGAGTACTATTGATTTAGGCTAGACGAAGCAAAGGAGGAGAAGAAGAAGAAACATGTTTTTGCGATGTGTTATAACTAACATTGCATTAAAAGCATTTCACGACTAGGGTATCGTGTGCTTTCGACTTGCAAACGCAAAACTTGCTACTACTTTAATGCTCAGACGAGAAGGGAAGAATGAGAGGAGAAGAGTTGAGTTGAGTGATTTATTAGTGATGGTAGGAGCTGTTTATATACTGATGATATACAACAGCTCCTCCACTCTAGCCACAAAAAGAGCGCAAAAAGAGCTAGCCATTAAGTGGACTGGACCAAAACGTTGTTGACGCCACCGCATCGCACGGGCAGTGACAGCGCGCGCGTGTGGTTCCCCCTTTCCTTTCCCTGTAAAATACTTCAAACCCTCTAGAAGGAGAAGGCCTTTAAAAGGTGGGAAGAGGAAAGCTACACTAGCAATGCTGGACAACACTAAAAGACAAAGATGTTTTTTCATCTTCATCTTCAAATGTTTTCCAACAATTAACAACCAAAATGGCAAAAGTGGGCTATGATTTTATTCAATTAAAGGGTTTAATTGTTTTTATTTTTATTTTTATTTCTTTTTGAAATTTGATGACTCAATTACCATTTTGACAAAATTTATTGTTTTCACTACATGGCCCCCAAACTCTATTTTCTCAAACAAATTCTCCTTGATGTAGCAAGCATGGTTAAAACATTTTAATCATGTTGATCTCAAGAAAAATTGTCTATATCAATTGGGGTTTGAGTGTTGGGGGTTAAAATTTTAACACATCAAGAATTTTAGTCAATTAATTTAGGTGATTCTAGCCACTATTTGAAGACGTGAGACAAAACATTTTACTTTTAATTGAAAGGCATTCAATTATTTAATAAATTTAAGCAGGAGATGAATAATACAAATTTTTTATTATTATTTTTTTTTGGGGTGAGAAAAGACCCGTAAAAGGACAAGAGAAACAGGCTACCACACTCTCTGAGTCACGGCACCATGAGCATCAGCAAGAAGAAGATTCTACAAGTCCTCTGGCGGGCGTACCAGAATAATACAATAATTATATGCTTTTCACCAAGTCAAACACTCACATCCACACCAAGGATAAAATCACCCAATGCAACTCCAGTGTTGTGTGGAAGAAAATGGAAACTGAATGTGTAAGAATATATAGCAGGATTGGAAAATTAAAAGATTTTTGGAGAAATAAGATGAAGAATAAGGCAAGATTGCAGCAAAAAAAAAAAAAAAAAAAAAAAAAAAAAAAGCATGTTTGGGAGTGTCTGTTGTGATCAACGAATCACAGAGTTGTTGCAAAGAGGGCATACATTCTTGTTGAGAAGCCATTGCTTGATGCAGTGTATGTGGTAGTAGTGCCCACACTCCAACCTTCCTACTTCCAATTCATCACCTCTTTTGTATCCCTCCTGCATCCAGTATGTATATACACTGCCTTCACTACCAAAACATTCTCCAACATAAACACTTTTCAGCAAACTTGTATATCACACTAATTAGACTCTTATATTCTTATTCTTTTTTTAGATGATGAGAGAAATTCGTAGCCTTTCCCGAAAGTATGCACGAAGTAAATTCTATTCTTGTGTAGAGGTAAACTGCGCTAGTAAGACATTATGCAACAGGATCTTGATAAGAATTAAACTCATGACCTTTAAGTACGAGAGTTATGCTCTATCCACTCGACCACCCATTTTGAGGCAAATTTTTAGATTCAATGTTACAATATAATGATTGCATATTCAAATCATTACTCTTTTTTTTTTTTTTTTTTTTCTTACAAAAAGGGATAAAGATTTAAGATTATGTTTTATGTCGTCAATCATACTTGGTACAATCATATATATATATATATATATATATATATATATATATATATATATATATATATATATAGAATTAGGTTCTGGTGCGGTTAGAATGTTCAGGTGCGGTTGTGCGATTTAATCTGAGCCATTCATCTCGCTTAAATCAACGTCTAGGATTACTAAAAAATTTTTAAAAAAACGCGGTGGCAATTTTGTAATTTTTGAATCTAGGTCAAAATTAATGTGAGCGGTTCTGTGATTAATGTGCGTGAATTTTGTATATAAGATGCATGAGTCTTGTGCATAAGGTGCGTGAGTTTTGTGCTTAATGTGCGTGAGGTTGTGCTTAATGTGAGTAGTTGGTAAAACTTAAAATGTGGGCTTTTGTGTTTAAGGTGCGTGAGATTTGTTCTTAATGTGAGTGGAGTTTGTGCTTAATTTGCGTAGGGTTTGTGCTTAATGTGTGTGAGGTTAATGATTAATGTCAGTAATTGTTGAAACTTAAAGTCTGTGAGTTAATACTTAAAGTGCGTGGATTTTGTGTTTAATGTGCGTGAGATTGTGCTTAATGTGCGTGAATTTTGTACTTAATGTGCGTGAGTTTGTGCTTAATGTCAGTAGTTGTTGAAACTTAAGGTTTGTGAGTTAATACTTAAAATGCGTGGGTTTTGTGCTTAATGTGCGTGAGATTGTGCTTAATGTGCGTGTGTTTTGTACTTAATGTGCGTGAGTTTGTGCTTAAGATCTAACACTTAAAGGTGCGTGGCTTTCTTCCAGATACGCGTTTTTTTTTTTTTTTTTTATAATAATTTTCATTGATTTGAGCCGTTGATCTAGATTTGGTCAACGACTCAAATCTAACCGCACAACCGCACGGGAAGCTATACACGCACATGAGCCATTCCACACACACACACACACACACACACACACACACACACACACACACACACACACACACACACACACACACACACACACACACACACACACACACACACACACACGATTCTGGTTCGGTTCTAGTTTTGAACCGATAATTCATGGTTCCTATATTGGAGAAATTGGAACCCGAACCTTGTATGAAAGGTTTGATTCCAGTTCCAATTCTGGGACCACAAATTTGACTCTAATTTTTATTTTTATAATCCTTTTTCAAATTTTAATATTTATTTTTGAAACAACAATAATAATAATCAAACTTCTTTTTTTCTTTAATTCTTTTTTTTTTTTTTTTTTTTTTTTTTTTTTTTTTTTTTTGAGTTTGATTCAGTTCTTACAATTTGCAAATCATAAACACAACCACCAGTACGTTTTTTTTATTCTAGTTCCAATTAGGTTTGTACAATATTTGAGTTAATACCCAAAATCATCTTCGACTATAGTGGTTTTTCTCAATTTCGTCCTAAACGATTTTGGTGACCTAATATCGTCCCAGACTTTTGTGTTTCGCTCAATTTAGTCCTCCATTTGTTATTCTGTCAAATTGGTGTTAAATTAAGGGACAATTCAGTAATGTCAATATTGATCTCTCTTTACTTTCAACTTGTGAAGTGCGAAATTTCTCTTTCTTGTACAAATTACACCCAAAATTACTCCCGGACCTGCAAATCAAATTTTATATTCGCAGTTTTAGGAGTAATTCTGGGAGTAATTCGTAAAAAAAAAAGGGATTTCGCAGTTCAAATGTCTATGAGTAAAGAGATGCCAATATTAAAATTACTGAATTGTCTATTTATTTAACACCAAATGGACATAATAACAAATGAGGGACTAAATTGAGCAAAAACACAAAAGTCTGGGACTAAATTGAGCGAAACACAAAAGTCTGGGACGATATTAAGTCACCAAAGTCGTTTAGGACGAAATTGAGAAAAATCACTATAGTCGAGGACGATTTTGGGTATTAACTCTACAATATTTGTTTGAGTTCAAACATGTCAATTTGAATTGAATTGTGGTCATTTCTAAGACTCTTAACTATATATGAATGTACCGAAAACTAATATAAATAGTACTTGGTACAATCATCTATGATATATTTGATTGTATCGGATGCAATTGGCACTATAAAAGTTTTCAAAGATTTAATATGGAGGACATACATCATATAGTACCGGATTTGTTATGAATCAGAGCTAATTGACTGAAGCAGTGGGGTTTGAACCTGTGACCTCCCATTTGGGACTTGGGAGAGTCACAGTTATGCCACTCGATCACAAGGTCTTTGGCGGGTGCAAGAGGATATATAGATTTGTGAAATATGAAGAAGAAAATAAACCAAAAATTAAATTATATGTATGTAACTCACTTGACAAATGCTGCACTTCCAGTCTTTATCATAGTTGGAATTAAGCAATGGAATGGCCTCAGGATTTGAGTGCTTAACTTTCTTTAGGAATTGAAGTATCCTCTCTTCTCCCAAACCTGTGCCCACATAACCAATCCTATCACCCAATTCAAGCAGTTCCTACATGACAAAAAAAAAAAAAGTAAAAAATAAATATTAACACAATTTTTAAATATACTTGAGGGACAAATATTAAATTTTTTATTTATAAGTTACAACAACAAATTAGAGTACTCAAAAGAAAATAAAGAAAACAAAATAACCTTTTCAAAGGACCAATTAAAATTATGGATAGTGTACTTTATATCCTTTTTTTTTTTTTTTTTTTTTTTTTTTTTTTTTGATTTTGAAAGCTACTTTATGTCTTAATCGGTGCAGAATACATTTTTTAACTTTTAAAAAATGTTGCAATTTTAGTCCTTTAAGTAATGAACCCGTGATTTTAACAAAAACTAGCTTCTGCTATCAGACTTGGAATGTGAACCAAATTTCTCCGAAGGATCACTGTTATGTTGTTTGAAATATGAAAATCACAACGTTTTCATAAACATAGGAGTTTATTTTGTAACAACTAAAAAAATAAAGATTAAAATGACTAGAGTTGCATAATTAAATGACTAAAAACACATTTTTCCTTACAATTGCATTGTTATGCAAATTGAAAGTGAACATTTGTGTGGGGCAAAATTAACTAGTGAAAAAGAAATTAAAATGGAGTTGGATGAAGCACCTCATAGCCCATATGATCCACATCAAGTCTCCAGTCTCCATACTGATCATATCTGTCAACATTTCTTGCATACAGGATGTTCTGTCTTAGTATCACAATCTGTATATGTTCATATCAACATTAACAGTTTCAATACAGATCTGGGGAACTTAGTTCTGAGGATTCATAACAATCTAGCTAATTAAACCAAGAAAATTCAAAGGGCTAACCTCAGATATTCCTCCTCCAGGAGAATGATGATGAAAGACAGGATAATTCCTAGTACTAAGTGTCTGGTTTCTGGTGCTAATTGCATCAGATGATGCTGACAAGTTCAGTGCAGAGGTTTCTTCTTGGGTTGCAGCTCTTCGATGTATACGAGAATGCTAACAACATATTCAACAAATCAGATCGAACGCTTATCACTACACTAAAAACTATAGCTTTCAACTTTATTTTATTATATACCGTCACATTTTCGAGAGGTATGATGCTGCACTTGATCCTTTAGCTAACCCTGCCCAACAATCCCCTAGCCATCAATTTTTTGACTTGGCCTTTTACTGGCCTACGCCCAACAATCCCTGTAGAGCCACCAATATAATTGCTGGACTTGACCCTTCAAGGGCCTTTGCCCAACAATTCACTATCCACCAATTGCTGGACTTACCCTTCACAGGCTCCCGCCCAACCATCCTTAGTCACCAATTGCTGGACTTGACCCTTCAAGGGCCTCCGACCAACAATCTCCTAGCCACCAATGGCTAGACTTGGCCATTAACGGACTTCCACCCAAAAATAACAATAAGTTTTTTGATCCAAGAAATTAAAGGGTATGATTATATTTCATTACAAAGTGATTTAATATTAAGATGACATTGCATATATAAATAAATACCTCTCTGTGATTTGGTCTTTGAGTGTTGTTTCTTGGTCTAGGAAGAACATCGGAAGCAGAACCAATCCCAGGAGGAGCGCAGCAGACATCAGGAACATCTACAACTACATTGGCAGCAGGATTATTCCTAGTACCACTACCCAATGCCGATGATGTTTTCTTCTTCTTCTTCTTCTTCTTCCCTTGGTTAGCAGGGTCCCACTGCGCCGCTGACCGGATCACCGCCGGAGCCGACGCTGCCGAGGATGAGTGCCCCTTGCAGCCAAGTCCTCCAAGAGCCCTCATCATAAAGGGACTACTCTTGTTTTTAGCCCTGAATTTGAGTGAACTCTGGGGCTCAACTGAACCATTTGAAGAAGATTGCATAAATGTGAGAAAAATGGGATTTTAGGAAGAAGTTGATTGATTAGGCTTTAGGCAGGTCTAGGAATCCAATAGAGAAGAGAAGAATGAGATCAAAAGTGAAATCACTGTTTCAAAGGGGCCTTGATACAAGGGAAATTTTGAATCATCAATGTTTTTTTTGTTATTATTAAAGCAGTGTTTTGTAGTACTGGTAGGTGTTTCTTTTGGAGGGATGCCAAAATGACAAAACAATCACTGACTTTATTTGTTTATTCATAATTTCTTAGCTGCCTTGTCTTTTTAGTAGTGGTATCTTTTTTTTTTTTTTTTTTTTTTTTTTTTTTTTTGAAATTACAATTATGATTATGATAGATATTATTTTTTTTTTAAATACCTGTAAAAATTGGGATGGAACTAGTTATGTTTTTTTTTAAAGAGTAAATAAAGTTATTTAGATGCATATGCTACTTCACCATAAGATCATTGGAATCATAAATAATTACTTTAAAAGATTTTTTTTTTTTTTTTTTTTTTTAGCATTATTGGAGGCTTGGAGCTATGGTACAAAGGTCCAACACAATAATGGCTTGATCGAGGTGAAAGCTTACTTGTCCAATTCAAATTTCAAATAACTCGTCACACCAAACTGGCCTAGCGCAGTGTGTAAATTATTGTATGGACCATGATTCACATAATATTGTATAGATCATAAAAAAAATTATATTTTTAATGTACTAAAAATACATTATTTGTGTACTCAATGTACATTATATAAAATAATGTACATTTAGTATTCAAATAATATACTTTTCATGAATATAAAGTACAATTTTAATATATTAAAAGTATATTATTTGTGTATTAAATGTACATTTATAGTATACAAAATATGGTCCACACAACTTGTGTGGACCGTAATGATTGAGCATAGTGCATATAGTGATGATGTCATTACGAAAAGTGGAGTTGATGCCAAGTTAGATTGTACCTTTACAGGGCGTTTGGTTGAAGGGAGGGAATTACGTGAGAAAGGAATTGCAATTTCATGAGAGATGAATAACTGGAAATTTAAATTCTAGTGTTTGGGGAATTTCAATTCCAATGTTTGGTATACATTGAGAATTGAAAGGGAATAAGCAATATAAAGTCCAAAATACTCATTATTGTTGTCAGGCATCAATTTTAGGTTAAAAAGGGAAGGGTAATTTTGTCTCATCATTATCTTTTTTTTTTTCTTCCTAAAATTCATGAAATTAAAATCCCAAGGGGACATGTGATTTTAATCCCATGAAAATGAGAGAATTGCAATTCCTTCTAATCAAACTAAGGAATTTAGTGGCCTTAGGATTTAGGTGGGAATTAAGTGAAAATCCCATGAAAATGAGAGAATTGCAATTCCTTCTAATCAAACTAAGGAATTTAGTGGCCTTAGGATTTAGGTGGGAATTAAGTGGAAATGGAATTTAAATTCCCTCCAACCAAACGCCGTGTTAGTACTTCGACAAAAGTTATCTCCTAATTGATTATAACTAGATGACAAATTAAGAATTTGGCTAGACCGGTGCTCATTGCACACAAGAAACTCCCCTCACTTTGAGAGGTTGCTCCCACACTATCACTAGTAAGACTCGATCCCTGGTCATTCTTTCAAAGTTTCACCTCTATGACTAGTTGAGCTACCCATGCGGGCAAATTTTATAATATGTATAATTGTATAACTCGAGGGTTTATCACCTAAAACACAAGCAATCCATTTTAGACATATCAAAACTTTGTAAAATTGCTCCAAACAATAACACTTCCGATTTCCAAACTTTGCCTTTGCCATTAATAAGATGGAAAGAATCTCCATTGACATTACATATTGCTTAGGTTAGTTATGTAATAGTTAGGAGATGAAATCAATAAGAGAGCAGCATGCTATTTTAGCCAGGACGTTATGTTTGAAAAAACATGTGCATGTATAATTGAATAGTTTATTATTGTTATTGTTATTGTTATTATTATTGTTGTTATTGTTTTTATTGTTGTTGTTGTTATTGTTGTTATTATTATTATTATTACTACTACTGATGGGGTGAGGACCCCGGCCCAAGAAAGTTTGGCCCAAAAGAGAGGTCCGAGACAAGAAAGGTGGGCTGGTGTCAAAGGAAGCCGAGAGGGCGCTTGGGCCGAGCCCGGGAGTCGGCCCAGGCCCAAGCACGGAGACCTAATCCAGAGCTGCTATGAGGAGCCCAGCGGGAGTTTGGGCCAGGACGAGGAGTCGACCGGGGCCCAAGCTCAAGGAAAGACTCGGTTCAAGGAGCCGTTGAGAACATTAAAGAGACTAGCTCGTTTAAACAGAGAGCCGTTAGGGCATTGAAAGCAGGACTCGGTCAGGCTGTTACAAGCTTGCGAGAGCCGTTGGCCGACCGAGTAATGGTGTCCAACGGCTCGACGCTCTAATTAGCTTTGAAGTCGGCCATTAAGGGCCTTTAAATCAGTGGGGGAGGAACCTGCTATATAAAGGCTCCTCCACTCTTGTAAGGACGATAAGAAAAGACTCGGAGAAGGGAGTAAGACAGATTATAGACGAGTGCTTCACTCAAATATACATTTTATTGAAAGGTGTATCCTCCAGCTGAAGGTTGTGTTGGACCTCCTTGGGCCCGAAAACCCCAAAACCATCAATTACTATTATTACTATTGTTATTGTTATTGTTATTGTTATTGTTATTGTTATTATTATTATTATTATTATTACTAGTAATTCACCCGCGCGATGCACGGGAAAAAATTATGTTATTATAAATATAAATAAAAAATAAAAAAACTAAAATATTTTAAATTATTTAATATAATAATATTTTTGAACTTCCTTTGGTCAAGTATTTATTATTTTTATAGAATACAAAATTACAATTAAAATTAAAATTAATATTAAAATTATAATTTTGTATGGTTAATATAATCTCTAATTATGTGCATATTCAAATAAACTTATAGAAAGAATTTACATAATTACATTGATTTATTCTTAATTGTATTTCATCTATATTATAATTTTCACAATACGAATAATAACTAAGATAATTACATTTGGAAAGCAAATTTTAAATTTTGTATGTGTAAATTTAAACTCTAATTGAACACATTTTTTATATGATTATATAATATATAGCTATTTTATTTTTCAAAAGTATATTTTTATATGATTATATAATATATAGCTATTTTATTTTTTAAATGTTGTGTTTTTTTTTTTTTTTTTTTTTTTTTTTCTAAGGATGTTGTGGCATTAATTGTAACATTAATTATTTTCCAAACCATATATCTTTATTATATAAAGGATTATTATTATTACACTGAAAGATGTCAAAAAGGGCTCTGAGGAAATAGTTCGTACACATATGGGAAACACGTCGAAGAAAGAAAACAATTAATGAGGCCAAATATATTATGATGGAATCGCCACACATTACATGTGCACATTATAATAAATATTCATTATAATTACAAATAAATAACTTCTACAATATTTTATTTTTTAATATAATTTTTTTTTTCAAAAATAGAGAAATAAGAGAAACATTTTTATCACATTTACTTTTTTCTTTGCGAAAAAAATAATTTTGTTCTTTGAGTTATTGCTCTTTCAATCTTTGACCTAAAGCTGGACATTTTATCTAACAAGCTGCCATTCACTTCAGATCAATATCTTACTTAGACATTATATACCTAATAGATTACTCCAAAACACAAAAATTAATATCATCATCTAAAGCATTACACACACACACAAATCGTGTAGTAAATGGAATAATTATTGTTGTGTGTGATCAGCAACACTGGGGTTTCTATCGTGCCCACGCATAAATGCAATTGTGCACACATTCATAAACGACAGTGCACACATTCAATGTAGTATGCATGTGCGAATCCCCAGTATTTGGGCCCGCCTGCACACGTTCGTGGACGACAAATGGAATACTTATTGTTGAGTGTGACACGGGTGTGCACAGATCCGCGCACACGCCTAATGCGGGTGTGCACAGATCCGTGGACGACAGTGCACACATTCAATGTATTATGCATATGTGAATTCATACTATTTAGGCTGACATGCACACGTCCGTAGACGACAGTGCACACAGGCGGGTAGCACACAAAATCATAAAAGCTAATCACAACCGTAGATACCCAAAATCCAACAATCTAGAAATGTCCACACGTTTGTATTTTAAGCTTTGTTTTTACAGGAATGTATGTAATTATATATAAATATATATATATCTAAAAACATAATAAGTCTCAATCAAAGTTATATCCCTCATTTATGTTCATGTTTTCAATGCTAACCATTTTGTACATTGTGCTTTTAGAGTTGTACTATACAATTTTTTGGACAAAAATACCCTTACCGTTATAACTTCCGTTATCTTTTCCATTACTTTTACCATACACATGCATCCATCAGATATTTTCTTATATTTTTTTAATGATAACAATATTTGTAAAACATTATATATTCATTATAAATTGGATTAATATAATAAATAAATTTTATTTCACTTAGATTTTAATTAGTAAAAATCTATTAGTTATTTTTAAAATTATAAATATTGGGCATATGTTTTTGCGCATCGCGCATAAAAAAGACTAGTATATATATATATATATATATATATATATATATATATATATATATATATATATACAAATATAATCACACTTGTGTGAGATGAGTCGGGTCGGGTCAATATGCAAATAATACTTATACTACCAAATGTAATGCTAAATCAAGAACAAAATGTTTGTTACTTATAAGGGGAAACGTAATAGGACAAATGTAATATTTTTATATTTTAAAGTAAAAGTATTACTTTTTTTTTAATCAAAAGTATTATACTTTCCCTTATAAGTAATGTATCACCCCCTAATTTCCATGCAGAATTAAACCTTAAACATGCAGATAACTAACCAAAACATCAAACACAGCGGAAGACTAAACAAGGATTATATAAACAGGAAATAAAAAGGGTGCTATGCCACGCCCACCCAAAGGTGAACGCACAGGCTAAACATATGCATAATCCACAATCTAAATCCATACCACACAAGAGTACTAATGTCTATCCTTGGCTCACAGGCCACAACAACTCAAAACAAAGGGATCTACACT